CCACTTTTTCAGGTATAATGAATCATGACATGCTATAAGACGATCTCTCAACGATAAATGAATATGGTATTTTCCATTTGTAAAACATAGAAGAGGTTCAAACATATTGGTGTTAGAATCCTGAATGTTGGTTCACATTCAACTGGACATGAAACACATGAACAACTGGTATATGTTCATAAATACCAGCACGAGCTAGCTTCAATGTCCCTGCTGTCAGAAACAAGGTTGAAAAAACATGTACATGTAGTCAGTATATTTTTACACTAACATGAACCAGATGAAATATTTATTCATAAAGTAATCAAAGATATTACGTAAGTAGACTCATCTGTAAATTCCAAGAACCTTATGCCCAATACATTTAATATTAAGTAATTATAACTGTGATCATTTTATTAAGTAGTTGAAACATTCATTTGGTAAATTATAACAATTAATGTGATACTCATAAATGTACACGCATATTATTGATATTCGTTCACTACGATTAAAACATTAGGCAAGATGTTAAAAGTTCATTAAGCAAATCCAACTACAGCTGTGTTGGCAGTATTAGAAATGTTAACCCAGTTGACTGCTTATTCTTAAATTATATCAGTTATTTCAAATGCAGTTGGTTTTTGCTGAAATTTTTACAACTAAGGATTTACATATTCTGGTATCATATCTTAAATAAAGCAGTATGATTAAATAATATGATCCCTTGCAAAAAGTTGTGGTCAGTTTTTTCGAAACACATGACATCATTTCATATATACCATGAGGTCCATATATTTTTTACTTCTTATTTGACTATATTGTGTAATTACTTGATGTAATTTATTTGGTCTTTGATTGTTATCAGTCATTTGTTTTGTAATTTTGGACTTATAGTAAATTTCTATATATAAATTATTTTATATGATCTATGGTTTGGTATATGTGGCCTTGATACAAATTCTAATTGTGGTGTAAAACCTATACTTCAACATTAAGCAGATATGTTTTTGTATACTTTTGATTTGAAAAACAAATACAGGTACACAGTGGTTTACTATGAACAGGCGAGATTATAACATAAATAACAACAGCATGTTTGTGAACCAGTGACAATCAACCACTTCCACACATGATTGTTCATGTAATGAACAAAATATCCAAATAAATGATAAATATGAAATTAATATCTTTTGACAGACACCAATGAGCATGCATGTAGAATGATAAAAATAATGATAGTGATAAAATGAAAATGATAACAATATCAATGAGCCTAGACATTCTTCTTATCATCATCATCATCATCATGCGATGGTTGCTCAACATTTTCAGTGGGCATTGGTTGCATGGCAACATCCTCATTTTTCTCCTCATCCTGTTTTATCCATTTATGTTCTCCCTATGGCAATACAGGCAATGAGTCCATGTGAGTTTTACATCTAAATTAGCCAAGAATCTATGCCCAAAATAAGTGCCTAGGATTGATGGCTGGTTTATCTCATTAGCTATGCAAATGTATTCAAATCATATATAATGAGCCAGCTCCATCAAGTAAGCAAGGAAAGTAAACCATTCAGTATCTGTTCACTGACAGTTAAGATGGGCATGTGGGGAACTCCCACATATCATGTGATATGCAGATGAATGACATCATTTAGAATGAGAGTATTTTTTATTTCATTTTTATCTAAATTATGATCAATAGCTGACTATATACCCCATCATTTCTATGCACAATGCAAAGAACACAGATTCCAGGCCACAACTATTAAAGTTTCCAAGAGAGGAAGTTTGCACACTAATTAATTCGTACTTAACACATTCTTAGTCAGTTATAGTCAGAACATGTCATAAAAACATCAACAATTGTAAATAAATCAATGTTGAAATAATGGAATTCGAGACCAAATTTGACTAATTGGAGGCAATTTAATATTTTATCCAAAAATGAGATATTCTGCCCTTTATGAGACAACCCTTTGCTTTACAAGTCTACACTTTTATAAAACTGAATTACAATAATTATAACTTGGCATGATCAAATCAAAATATGAACCAACTTTTTGTGAACAGAGATAAATTTTACAACATTAAGGTAGATTTCTGTTATAAACTTTGAGGCAATGAAAATTGCCACATCTGACTTGAGGTGCTAGACTTGTAAGGATCTTTTCAGTGATAATTACAAATCAAGGAAAAAAAATTACACATTTTTCAGTGTGTTATCAGTGATGCACAGTCACCAAAGTTGCCTGCATTTGTTGCAAAATTGAACAATTCATAGTAAGTTCAAGAATGTTTTCATTACAAAATAATCAAATGTACAAAGTTCCTCTGCTGCTGGATGAAAATACATACACAGTACCAAGAATGAATTTCGTCATGACTACTGATGTACAAAAAAAAATTGGGAAAGCAATTGAATCTTTATATAAGTTTGAAGTGTCATCTCTTAGACATTAATATCGGTAATTACCTCATCAATGTTGCCATACCAATCAACCACTCTAAACAAAAGTCAAAATATTTTAAAATTTATGTGCATTTTGGGGTGTACACGTAATACATTTCAAAAGAAATGCCATTAATTATTTAATTAGTCAGAATTCATATTTTCAGAGTTAATTCATTCTTTTGATCTGTGTACATACAACTGGTTCATTTCTGAACCACTTTCAATAGACCTCAGACGCCACTGAGAGCCAAAAACCTTGTCTATGCCACCGATTAGTGCTCCATTCTCTCCAATCCTCTACTGATTCAGGTAACCATGGTAATTGTTCAGGTGATGACAGGAGAGAATGTAACAGTATTTAAGAGGCAACAACAATCCAGAAGCTATTTAAGTCTAGTGTCTACTGCAATAATGAAATATTAAATGATATGAGAACACCTATCCCAAAGAAGCATGGCATGCAGTAGCAATGAACATTATGTATTGACTTGTAATGTAATTTATTTTGTACCTAGAACTGATTTACTCTGAAAACAATACTTCAGTGCAGTGAATACACCAGGTATTTATTTTGATTGGTGTCCAATGAGTTTACACAAAATATGTGGTGATTGATTTGTCTTTTGATTTTACAGTGAATATGAAGAAATTCTGAATGAAATGAACTAGTCTACAGTACATGTCTGAATGTGTGGTTAATTTGTTATTTTCAAAAATTGATTCAAAGATCATATTTTTAAACTGTCATTAAAATTGGCCTTTATTTAGAAAAGACTGGTATGACCAAACCCAATCAACTGAGAAACACCAACAACTCTATGTTTGAGAAATAAGCTCTGAGGACAGACTATAACATGCATGTAGTCACACAAGCTTTCAAGTTGATAGTAACATATGAGCTTTCAAGGCTTCGAAGTTACTGACAATAAGGGTATAGAACTATCATATTATAAAGCATTAGGTCAATATATGTGTAAATAAATAAATTAATACAACTTTTTTGGGTAGTAAACTTGAAAAATTAAATGGTCAACAACAATTTTCATGGGTCTGAAATTAGTAGACTGGTGATAAAATCCTGGACCAGTGGTTTAAG